CCAGATCATGCTGGCCCAAGCGTGCGGGATCCCTAGCTCTTGCACGTAAGGTGTGAGTAAGGAGAGCTGAAGCGCCCATCCGAACTGGATCCCGCACGCGACGGAAGCTACGCGGAGAAGCACACGCTTGGAGACGTTGGAGCGAGAAGAGGTGGGAGGTCGGGGGAGAGGTGGGAGGTGTTGACGGTTGCGTGTCGGTCGGTGGTGGCGAGGTTGTTCGGAAGTAGACATCTCAGTACTCTTTCTTTCTCTCTCTGTCTAACTTCAAAGAATCTTTTATGAGAGAACGAACACTTGTTTGAGAGTAAAGCTAAGTGGTGGAGAAAAAGGTGGCAGGCAACTAAAATCATCATGTGGGTCTGTGGGGTTGTTTTAGAATCTACTTTCTTAAAATTAGGTTCGTTTTTTTAATTATTTTAAAATTAGGGAGGCGAATTTGTAAATAATAAAAGAAGGCACGTAAAAAGAGGAAAGTGGCAATCGTCAGTTTCCACTTTCGGCGTTTACTATATACGTAGGAGGCAACAAGAGCGACGTCAAGTATTCTGTTTTATTTCTCTTTTTTGGTGCAAAAGTTTAAAAGGTGGAGTTTGGTTAAAAGGATTGAGTTTTAAGTGGACAGTGTGAACCGTACACGTGCATGATTCATCCCATTACGTGACGGCTTAAACATGTAACACGAGAGGGTGCCAAAAACATAACCAATCTTTTTTTTTTTGGTGACAAAATATAACCAATCTTATTCCTACTCTAACACGAGGGTGCCAACAGTTAACCAATCCCATTCTAAAGTAGCATTTCTTTTATCTTGGCTTTTCGTATTAATAGCTTTACGTGAGTACCCTACTTTTATTTGAGTTAGGAGAAAATTCAGGGTTGATTCAAAATAATCAACCAATTGAGCAGTTTTTCATTTCAAGAAATATAGATAACTTTTTAAAAAATTACAAACTTCTAGTTTGTGTGTTTTTGAAGTGGCTGGATTATAGTTAAATCCTAACAAATGACATTTTCTCTTTCAAAAAGAGCTTGACAGTTAAAATTTGCAACTAATCATTAATCAAATTTAGAATCAGGCAACGTTAAGATTTATATTATACACTTGCTAAAATTCTTCAATTCTTTTTTCTTATAAGACAGATGAAAGCATACAATTAAGGCCCAATCATTTGAAGATAATTTGCTGATATTTACTGATGAGCTTTTATAGCCCAAATAAGAAATACAATACCATACACGAAAAGGCCCTTCTGTGTTTGCTGGGTTTAGATTAATATTTCTTCACTTGCAAAATAAAAAGTTAATTCTAAAATTCTTTTATAGACAAACTAAAAACGTGGAAGTCCCATTTGTACGGTGGTTTGACTAAAGATTCATTAATGTTTTTGTAAAAAGTAAAATCTTATATATTAAAACAGAAGTCATGACTTGACTTCATGTGTGATTTTTTAAAAAATGGACTATTACTAGAAAGTCATGTTACATTAACTCTCTAATAATCTTATAATTATTATATCTTATGAAAAATCATATCTATAGTAACAAATATACGCTTAACAATTCCGTTTTGGTAAATTATCCCACACCTTCCAACTTAGTCACGCAAAATTTGTCAAAAGATATAAGTTTAGGAATCTTCTATTATTTATAAGGAAATATGTCAATAATAGTTAAATGAATCCACAATATATTAACAAAAATCACATATTCGTAATATAGAATATTTATATACCCTAACAAAGTTTACACGCTATATATACTAGATAAATTTATTTCGATGTAAAATTTTAAAATTATATTGTTTAAAAAAAAAGAAATTGTTTAAAATTTATTTTTTAATAAAATTCTTTATAATATTAATTTATGAAGCTATAAATTTAGTTTTTAGCAAAAAATTCTTCAAAGTTTATATTATCTTTGAAAATTAAAGTATACTAATATTTAATCAAGCTCTATTTATATTAATTTATCTAAAAATGAAATACTAATCTAACAAACAATAAAATATAGAAGAAGAAACAAACACATGTTTGAAAAACATGTATAATATAGAAAATTTGAAATAATCTATTTGATTAAAACATTGTATTACATAATATTATTATGTTTGAACGTATCGTGAATATGTGATTACTATGATATATATCAATTTACAAGTGAAAATAAAATGTTTATATAACTACTTATACACGAAAACAAACACCCGCGCGGTTGCGCGGATCAAAATCTAGTTATAAAAATTAAATGAGAAAATGCTTACAAGAGATCTATAAAATGGCGTAAGGATTACCGTCCAAGGTGGATCAGATGAAGCAGTCAAGCGTAAATCTTCATAAGATATGTAAAATGTCGGATGTAAAATCGTTTGTAATAATTAATAGCATAATTACCTAGTTGAAAAAAAAACAAAAGAAGGGTAGCACTGAGGCCTAATAACATGTGAACAAAATCCTACTGGGCTTTATCGATGAGTTTAAAGAACCCAATATATTAGTACAAAATCATACACAAGAAGGCCTTTGGTCTTTTTAAAAAAAAAATCTTAGAAACCGACTTTGACACTTTTCATAATGGGTTAAGGAAAGAAAAAAAATGAATTAAGATGTTGAGAAGGATTAAAGGGCCGCAAAAAGAAACGCGGCGACTGACGAGAACATGGCCAGCCGCGTAAGGAACGAGTTGACTATGTTCCGCGCCCGTGCGTCGAATTCCCTAACATGTGCCCAAACCTTTTCACCTTTCGGAAAACGTATATTCTCATTTCTTTGTCGTCACGTTTTATAATGCTTTTATATGTTTTTTCTTTTCTGTCAACATTCGTATATAACTTTTTTTTTTTTGATTAACCAGGTGTTGACCAGCCTTCGGCCAATCCACCACCTAGTGCACGGCATCAACCTGCGTCTATACCGGTTAAGGCCCTGGACACGCTTCCCCGCGAATCACGCTTCCCCGCGAATCGAACAGTTGACCTCCCAAGGTTGAGGGGCAGGTACCACTGGACTATCGAGTCCGGGGTTCGTATATAACTTGCCCCTTTTTATTTTTATACATCCTTGGAAGCAGTTATATCATGGAACCATGACCATCACTGGACTAACTCAGCATATGTAAGGCTGCGCATTTTACTCAATATCACAATCCAATCCGAAAAATCCAACCAAAACTAGAATCAAAATAACAAATTATTTCAACAGATATTAAATTAGGAGATAATGGATATTCGAATCCAAAAAAATAATATTCGATAGTTCAAATGGATATCCAGATATATATATATATATATATATATAACTTATATTCTTAATTTATTTTTCTCATTTTATTTAATATATTTATGTTGATGTTGCATATAGCTCAAAATCATATGTCACATGATTGCAAAAATAATAATTTGTTATTCATTATATCAAATTTCTTGTTTTATACATTAATAAAAAATCTATCTATAATTTCAAAATAACAATTAGATAAATCTTTTTATTTTCAAAGTTTTGTTTTCAAATTTATTACCGTCAAACCTATTAAAATTAGAAGATTAGTTAAGTTAATAGTAAAATTTTAAGTTCAAAAAAAGTTAACTAACGAAAAATTTGAATTTTTACTTTCAAAATCTCAATATCTAAATCTGTTTTAAAATAACTGAATCCAAATAAAATTTATTAAAATCTAATTTGATGTATAGAAATATCCAAATGGATAACAAACTTTATTATCGATATATCGAAAATTCAAAAATCTAAAATATCCAACCTGAACTAAACAGATATTCGAATATCCAGTTTTATGCATATGCATGCATAAATAAGGGAATAAGAGGAAATACACACATGATAATACACCATAGGTATTCTAGATGTGACTGAACTTTCAGCCATTGCATTGTTTACATGCGTATAAAGCAACACTAAATTACTAATCTTCTTACATTTATGATTGACTTGATAATTGTATTAGTCAAACATATACACTTAGGTTTTGTATGGCGATTATTTGTTTCATCTTTTGTGAATAGTAATAACAATTTCTATATATATATATATGTATTTATATATTTATATGTTTTGTTATTATTTGAACCGTATGGCAGATATCGTATACGTTACTATTGGAAGCCTTATTTAGATACTAAATAACAAAATGAGAGGAGATTATCTTTTTCCATAAGTTAACTTGCTATCAGAATATATTTTGGTTGCTAGACACCTAACGTGATGGAGAAAAAGATTTTACTCGAAATAGTGTCAGACAAAACCACTAAATTAATGTAGAAACTTTCTTAGTAAAGAAGAAAAAGATGGCGCGAGACCTAACTGGAGCATTGATGAACCATTGTTCTTTTCGATATGTCCAACAAAAAATCCACACAATAAACCAAAATATATAAAGAATTCTAAGATAGTATCGTCAGAAAACTTTTTTTTGTCAGAAAACTTGTTTCTTTGCTTACATACGTCGTCTTCCTTATATGACATGTGCCGTCTTCCACTCGTAACATATGTCGGTTTCCCTTTCAGATGCATTTTTACATAATGCCATAAAACTGTGATGCAATTCTGACATAATTCCAGTTAGGAGAATCCAAAAAAATAAAATATGGAACTAGTAACAGTTAAGGAAACATTACTTTGACTTGAAAAATTCATAAAACGATAATTATTCAAGTGTTTTGTAATATTTGAAGACAAATTTCCGTTTTAATTTAACTATGATAAAAATTATCTTATTAATCTGTATCTAATTACATATTACCTATAGTTACAGTAATTTCAAACAATAGATTCTATTGATGTGGTTTTCTCAACAGTGTTATTAATGTTAACACACAATCAACAAGACTCGATTCCAATACGAATGATTTATTTTAGTAAATGGTTTCAAGTTGCTCTGCTTGTCAGACCATAACTTCACTCCCACAAGACAAAAAAAGTCACAAAACTCCATTTGGGCCGGCGACAGAAAATATATTTTCCATCCAAGAAGAACCGACATGTATTACATAAAATAATAATCATTTATAAAAAAGATATTGGTCAAATCCAAAAGATCGTATATAAATCTTTGTATACAAACACGTTCCAAATACACACACATATTCACTCAAGAGTGCTACTACTCCAAAGTAAAGTAAGACAAAAAACATGCCAATCACCAGCAACACCTCCCAAAGCTTCAGCAGCTTCGTCAACGGTTGGCTAATTCGTCACAGGTATTTCGTCGAACAGCTTACGTGCGCTTCCTCCTTGGCTCTCGAACATCAACAACAGTCTCTCGTCTCCCACTTCCTCTCCCACTGTCTCCAATACTACCAAGCGAAATCCTCCGCCGTCTCCCTCGCCGGCGACAACGTCTTCACCTTCTTCTCCCCTCCTTACTTCACCCCCTACGCCAGGCTCATCCTCTGGGTCGGCGATTTCAAGCCTTCCCTCGTCTTCAAACTCACTGACTCCTCCGTGGACGACCTCACGCGCCACCAGAGGGACCGGATCTCGAGTCTCCGGGTGGAGACGAGGAGGAGGGAGAAGGACGTGATGAGGGACTTCGCGCTCGTGCAGCAGAGCGTGGCGGATCCGCCGGTGATGCTGGCGGCGAGGAGGGTCGGGGCGAGGGGGATGGTGGACGGGGAGGAGTCGGATTTGGAGGAGGCGATGGAGGTGCTTAAGAGCGGGATGGTGAGGGCGATGAACGACGCGGATGAGTTGAGGTGTTCGACGGTGGGGAAAGTGGTGGAGATTCTTAATCCGGCTCAGGCGGTTAAGGTGTTGAGAACCATCGGTGAGCTTCATCTTCGGTTGAGGGAGTTAGTTGGTTTGGAGAGAGACGATGAATGAGTTTGTTTTGCTTCTTGTTCCGACCAAACCAAACATTGGAGTTCATTAATTTTTCAATTTGGTTCTGTTTTTTTTTTTTTATTTTGATCTTCTTACAAGATTTTGAAGTTTGGGGCATTTTGTTGTGGTGATTAAGTGAAGTGTTGTTGTAATGTTTTAGGTCAGCCGTTGACTCTTTATCGGCTGCTGCCCAGTTCCCACAGCAGTTGACTGGTGAGGAAAGTCAATTTGATGGGATTTTTTCATAAGCCTGTCAAAATGAACTGACAGTGCTCATTATCCACACACGCAAAACAATGTTTTTGGCATTGATGTGTAACACACAAAGTCACAAATAATAATGATGTAAAAGTCTAAGCAGAATGGATAGGAATACAACAACTAGTAAACCAGTACTTCAATATATCTCTGGATGTGGTTGAATTCAAAATCCAGAATCACAAAGCAACAAAAAATACATATGTTATCAATAAAAAAAATTAGGAATTAAGACATTCAACCTTTGAAGTTTGAATCTGAGCAATACAGAAAAAATACACCTTCGCAGCACTCTTATTCAGTCTTGGTTGTTCTTGACCTCTAATACCCATTATTTCTTCGAAGTTTTCTTTGGCAGAACATATATTTATTCTAAGTTCATTTCTAATAAAAGGGACAAGGAAAAATGTCCACTGTTTTGAAAAACAGAGCAATCTACTTTCGATATCAATGTTAGTCTCTTAGCTAATTTAGCTTGTTCTTTCATTCGTGAGCTGTTATTTGATTTCACATATGATCACTGTAGAGGAGTTTGTGTACTTCTTTAAGGTTGTTAGTTCTGTTTTAGCTAAATGTTCTTTGGTACATAGGCATAGGATACACAAAGGGAAAAAGCAGCATTGAAGTGACTGAGCTTAACATTCACACAACTTCTGTAGATATGCGTGAGAAGCTTGCCATTAGCATGGCCACGAGCTATCACGCAGGCTCGACCCTACAAAAACAAAGGCTGAAAGCTCAAAAATAAAAAAAAAGGCCGCCAGGAGGTGTTGAACCTTTCACCTTAAGGTGAGATAATAGGTAGCTTGACCATTTTATCTACTTGCACACTTTAGAAATAGGCCGAAATATTGGTTATTTTATCGTCGAATGCTTCTAATGCTTATGCCCAGGGCCACTACTGTATCACAAGTCGTGCGGTTTGAATCATATCGAAGAAGCTGCTGTTTATCAGTACTTGCAACCGTATTGAGATTTATGTTTTGGCTCTGTCTCAGCACCGTGGAGTCAGAGAACTAGAGCTGCTTTGGTTGAAAGATCCATGTCCAAATATTGCAATGACACTAAGCATAGTACACAAGCTTTTGCACGGTCCAATGTAACATTTGAGATGTGATGGGCCTGATAGCAGAACGCTGAAAGAGGCGCAGCGGTAGAGAACATGCAAGCTCTGAACAGAATGCATGGACTCGATGTAGAGTTACTCGAGTCTCGAGGATAAGATTAGAGCAAAGGTTGAACAAAAGTAAAATACCTTTGCTGCATCCATCTTTTAGGTTAGTAGAGTTCAAACAGCACGCCTTCGTTGTAAATAAACTTGAATAGAGTGTGAAGTTAGCTTCTGAGGATGAAGATGTTCTTCCGATTGATGTCAAAAGAGTAACGTATACTACAAGAAAACTCGGCATTTACTAGAAAATTTTATTAGGAAAATATTTCCTCGTACATTTACTACGAGATTACTTCGGTTTTACGAGGAAAACAAGAATCCTCGTAAATTCCTCGTAAACATACGAGAAAACTGTTTCCTCGTAAGACCGTAGTCAAATTATGAGGAAATTACGTGGCAAAAGAACATCTCCTCGTAATTTCGTAGTAAAACTTTTCCTCGTAAAGTCCTAGTAAAGAATTACTACGGAATTAAGAGGAAACTAGGTGGACGGCCCGCACGCCTGTGCGGACATTAATATAATCTTATACATTGCATGAAAAAAATATAAATGTATGAATATATTGTAATTTTCTTTCTCTTTTACATAGATACTCTGTTTTTTAATATATTTTTCTATTTTACTCATTTAGTTTTTCCTTGTATTTTTTCACACATTCGTTTTGTTTCTTATGTATCTCTCTTTGCATTATTTTTGTATGTCTTTGTACACCTCTCTCGCTCTCTTTTTCTTTCTCTCTCTCTCTTAGTTGATCAAATAATCTCAAAATCTCTCAAACTTACATTCACTCTCTCACAATCACCTATATTCATTCTCTTACCCTCGTCCTTAATATGATCCTCAATATTTCATTTTAAAACTCTTTCTATCTTTTTTTGGTTGCAAAATGTTCACCAGATTTTGTTAAATCTTCTAAACACTTTGACATAGTATTAATAAATGATTTCAGAATCTATCTCACTTATATTTAGTCTCTCACTTATATTCTTTTTCATCTTCATTATGATCATAACCAATTCTAATCCTTATCATCACCATATCCCCCTCTCTTTCTTCCTTTCTTACATATTTTTTTATTTAGAATTTAATATAAAATCACAATTGACTAACCAAATAAATTCATTATCAAATTCTCTCTAATCTTCACACTATCTTATCAAACATTGATTCCTTTGACCAAGATTTGCATTGAAAAAATAAATATTTTATTGTTAATTTTGTTTTTTTTTTAATTACTTCATTATTTAAATATTTTAAGTAAATATAAATAACTGTATTTCAAAAGAGTAAATTTGATTAAATAATTATATAACATAAAATATCTTAATTCTTAAATGATGTGATGTCATTATTTTAGACATAGATTAATATAAACATGAGATTCAACAGTTTTAATATATCAAAATAACATGTTTCTAGTTGTATAAATTTTGTTATAACTTTGTTATCATATATTTTTAAAGTTTATTACACCGCAAAAAATACTTATCATTATTTTAAAATTAATTTGCGTTATATTTTGCATCGTCAGCATTATCAATTTTATAACTTATCATTTATATTTATCTTCCTTGCTTAATTTTTCCTTATGTTGTATAAACACCTAAAAATAATTAGTTTACAATTATATTAATACGTAAAAAATATTTTGGTATACAAATAAAAAATTATTTATGTACAAATACAAAATAACGAAGAATACAACAAAAGGTTTTATTATTATTCACTCATGTTTTTACTTATGTCTTTTTTTCGTATTAATAGTAAACATGCCAATTTTTTTTATACTTAAAGCTATATGAATTATATGAATAGAATATTAACTCTAATCTTGTATTAATATAATGTCTTGATTTTTTGTAATTTTATATTATAATAAACTTTTTATTTATTCATATTTTTTAAAATGACATACCATATAATTTTATGTTTTAAATATAAAAATACTTAAATAATTTTTGAAAGCTATAACTCAACTATACTATCGACATTTATCTCTGGAAAATGATATATTTTTTAAAAAAATTTACATTTGACTGTTTTGCATTTATTGAACATATTTTAAGAATACATATAAATAGTGAGTGAGTATAAAAATATTATTAGTTTTATCTAATGTATGATTTTTTATCCACTATTAATAGAAAAAGTTAAAATCGTTTATATACTTATTTCTATAATATAAAATGTATTTATATGTATATTCTAAATTTTTATAATGAATATGTGATATTTAATTGGTTCTATAAACAAATTCTATTAATACTATGTATTTAAGATGGTTAATTGTTTGTTTGGTAATATATATTAGATTAGGTAATTCTAGGATTAGTTTCCTTTTAAAAAACTTTAATTAAATAAATAAAAATTTAAATGCCAACAACCAATCAAATTAAGAGAATTAATTCTATATTGCACCTATGAATGACACGTAAGCAAAAGTCATTAAAGTGACTTCTCTTTTAATATATAGGGGGATGTTATTTTCCTCGTAATTTCGTAGTAAAATTTTTCCTCATAAAGTCCTAGTAAAACATTACTACGAAATTAGGAGGAAATGTTCTTTTACTTCTAATTAGCGAGGAACTGGTTAGAAAATATCTATTTTAAATCTAAAACGTGTTTTGACTGTACTTTCCTCACAATTTCCTAATAAAATGTTCAGATTCAAACATTTCTATAAATACCACCATTTGTTATTCATTTCAAACACACCAAACAAATAGAAAACACTCAATTCATAACTGAAAGGAGTTTACAGTCAATAGAATAGTTTCTTATCAACTCGGCATAGCTTTTCCTCAAAGAAATAGCTTGAGGCTTTTCCTCAGGTAGATAGTTCGAGGAAAGCTATGCGGGGTTGATAAAAACCGTTCCGATGATTGTATACTTCTTTTAGTTTTTTTTTTAATTTGTGATTTGGGGTTTAGGAAGATGTAGAGGTATAAGTTATGGAAGTTGGTTTAGGTTTAGGGTTTAAGGTTTAGGGAATTTAGATTAGGTGGTTAGTTTAGGAAATTTATATTAGGTTGTTTAGTTTTGAGATTTTGGGGTTTAGGTGTAGAAGAGGTTATAAGTTAAGGAAGTTGTGGTTTGGTGTTTGGGGTTTCGAGTTTAGGGATTTACAAACCCTTTCCTCGTAAAACCCTAGTAAAAGAAAACACGGGGCTCGCTATTTCCTAGTAAATTCCTAGTAAAATGTTTCCTCGTAAAGTCCTAGTAACAGAATTTCTAGGACTTTACGAGGAAACCTAAACGCGAGACTCATGATTTCCTCGTAAAGTCCCCGTAACCCTAAACGCAGGACTAGCTATTTCCTCGTAAAATTACGAGGACCTTACGAGGAAACCAAATTCCCTATATAAGTCGAGTCATTCGATTTCTCTCATTTGTAGCAATCTTCTCTCAAAATCCTCTTAAGGTAATATCTAATTCCTAGTTAAGTGATTAGATTTTGGGAATTTAGATTAGTTGGTTAGTTTAGGAAATTTAGATTAGGTGGTTAGTTTAGGAAATTACGAGGAAAGTTGAAAAATATTTCAAAGTAAATTCCTAGTATAGCATTACTAGGAAATTACGAGGAAAGTGGAAAAACATTTCGAAGTAAATTCCTAGTAAAGCATTACTAGGAAATTACGAGGAAAGTGGTTACTACGACTTGACGAGGAAATGTGTCTCCACGAGTTTACGAGGAAATTTTTCCTCGTAAATTTACTAGGAAATTATGAGGAAAAAAGCTGTACGATGAACGATTCACGACAAAGCGCGTTTCCTCGTAATTTTCTAGTAAAGGGTCCTTTACTAGGAAATTACCAGGCAAAACCGTCCTAGTAAAACTTGTGTTTTATTGTAGTGGTAATTGTTTCATTAGTTTGTTTTTCATAAATTTGCTTTTTATACCCCAAATTTTTGCGCTATCCAATTTAATACTTCAACTAATAATTTTGTTCATTTGAATATACAAACTTGCAAAATTGTGCCCTTTTTAATATCAAAATTTTGTTTATTTTGATTAAAAATCTTGATAAGTTTCAAAAGAAAAATTTAAAGTCTCAAAAATCTAATAAAAACATTAAATTTATAACTTATTTTAGAATTTAGGAGAAGGGTACATAAATTAGGGAAAAAATAGAAATTTGTTTCTTCAGAAAACAAAATATATTTAAAACTTAAAACGTGTATTTCAAAATCTAAGATTATACACAGTTTAATTAGTTTTATTTCTTAAAAAAAAAGAATTTTATGAGAATTGGTAAATTTCAGAGTTTTTAAAAAATTTTGCTTGAAATTTATTAGTATTTTTAATTAAAATAAACAAATTGGGGTACTAAAATTGACATAGTCTTAAAATTTTGTATCTTAAAATAAACAAAATAATTGGTGGGAATATTAAACATGATAACAAAAAACTTGGGTATTAAAAAAATTTAAGGATATTTAGTTGAGATACTTTAATTTAATTTTTGCTTTTAATATTATATAAATATTTACACTTTTACTCATTTGAAACAGTGATAATTACAAATTGGAGAAGCAAGCAAAATGTATGAAGGGCAACTCCAACCATAGCACCAAATTTGATATTGAAATTATATTTATATTTTTGATTTGACAATATTATAGTTTTTATATAAGATATTAAATATTCAAATTATATAAAAAAACTATTAATTATGTATTACAGTTACTGATTAAAATTTCTATGATATCTTATCTTTTTTTAAAATATAAAATAAATGATAATAATCATTAAGTGATTTCTTACTTGAAAATAAAATTAAAATATTGTAATTATATAAAAAAAATTCAGTTATTTTGCACCCCATCAAAAAAAGTTCTAGCTTCATCCCCCATATATCTTACATCAAATTTGGTGGGATAATATTTTTTTGGTGTTTCATTTGAGATGCAATTACACCAAATTTTGGGCTTAGAACTCTAATAATTTATTCCTAATATATATCGACTTTGGAATTTTAAAAGGTTCTAGATTAGTCACAAATGTTTAAATGTGTTAGAATTTCTAACTAAAATATTTTGACAAGACGGGATGAAGTAGCCCGCCTTGCAAAGGATCTTGGGGGACAATTGTCATGCTCACGGGTTTGACATCTGGCGGTGATGAACTGCCTCTTCCATGTCACTAAAGTGGTACTGAGCCTAGGCCCAGATACAACCCTCCCAGGTGAAGTGGATCGCTGCCTGACCGGGCCCAGAGAATGACCCGTGAAGCGGGGAATCCTGGATTATAAAATTTTTTTTTTTTTTTTTTTGAAACTGAAAAAAAAAAATATATTTTGACAAGTGAAAGAAGAAACGAAAAATATCTCGACATGTAATTCACGACAACTATCTTTGGTTATATCCTCTATAAGACTATAAACAAAGACTGGAAAGTAAAGTTTCAAAGCTAAGCGAGTAACGACCTATCCAGACTTCCAGTTCAAGGCAATACAGTATATATGTTAAACATTTCTTTCTTGGAGTTTTACGAAGTCTTTTGTCTCCTTTTTTACGTGATTCGATCCATTTTTGGCTCTAAGACCCAAGTTGAAAGTTGAACGAACAACTATATTGCTACGCATAGAATAATTAACTAGTCATGAGATTAATATTTTTAAAGTAGTCATGAGATACTGAAATTTTTATAATCATATATGGTTTCATCTAATCCATATACTTTTATGAACAGCAAGTTCACTGTACACTCATCGTGATTATGTAGTTTTTATTTCAGTTTCTTATAAATTTATATGATTTTTACTTAGAAATAATATCATTTGAAATATAGCTTGTTCATATATGTATTAAGTTCCTCAGAGAATTTGAGTGAATATTTCAAAATAAAATATTGAAAAAGTAAAAGAAAAAACAAATAACTGATTCTGATCTGAGAAAAAGTTTGGAATATAATGAAAAACTTTAAAGACTAGATTTTGTAATTGATAGTTAAATTTCATTTTAAATAAATTTTAATTCTATAATTAGTTACATCATTTTTTTCTTAAAAGGAAAAATCTTTTAAACGCTAGAGACGCTCATGGCAATACCAAGTGACGAATGAGTCAAAGTTTTGACTGATAATTGCATGAGATTTTACGTACAAATCCACGTTCACATGTGTGGTCTTTGAATAATTCGAGTATATAATGAAATCAAAGAAACCCATCATTTTGCCTAACACTATCATCATTTTACTATAACCTTGAGATCTTATATTTCCTTCCAAAATACCTTCTCTCTGAAAGGTCTCATATTTGCAATTACAATTTTTAAGTATCCAATAGTTGATAAGTTATAGTTAGTAATAACTGACAATGTTTTCGTTAATGTGTTGTATGTATATATATATATATATATATAGATATAGTGAACTCGTTAAATTTATTATCTTTTCATGTGTAGGAATGGATACAAGATTTTTGTACCCCTTGGAGAGCTGTAAAATCATCCACTTGGTAAGTCACAAATTTAAACAACTGACGAGGCTGATTAACTACACACAACTCACTTTGAATACTACTTTGGTAATACGTACTTATCATGCATTTCTTTCGTTTATTTAAGTTGAGACATGGACAAGCGGTGCACAATGTTGAAGCCGAGAAGGATAGGAGATTGTTGTTGTCTCCTCATCTTTTTGACGCCCCACTTACTGATCATGGTCACCAACAGGTAAACAATAAATACCAAGCATTAGACCGGTTATACATATCGATCAAATTTTTAATATACATCTCTGCATTTTGTTGATGAGTGGTGGATCGTAAACGATCGAAAGTGGAACAAAAGTGAAAGTGAACATAACTCTCCCGTAAGAGGAATAAATTATATAAAAGTGGACATAACTCTCACGTAGAGGAATAAATTATATAAGATTTATTGCTATTATATTAAGTTATTACTATTATACTTTCTTCAGAATGATCGATGTTTTATAAGAAATTCAAAATAAACATTTTTACATTTTCAATTGTAAAATTTAGAGAAATTAATTGTGTTTACTGAATTTTGATTAGATAAAAATTATGAAAATAGTAAATCATTAGATAATATATTCATAATTAAAATTTAAATCATTTTTTAATATGTGTAGAAGATCTAAAACATATAATTTTAAAAATTGAGGAAATATCATTTATAATGTTTAATACTTTTACAAAAGGTTGAGAACCTCCGCGAACGTGTTGTTTCAAGCGGGCTACTAAAGAGGGTTGAGCTAGTTGTAACTTCTCCCTTGCTGAGGTAATTATAGCTAGTAATGAAAACTTTAAACGTTAAAATCCTTTATTTTAATGCTAGTTGTAACTTCTCCATTATATTATTGTATTGTCTTTCTTTCTGTTAGTGACTTGGACTAATTTAGTTTTCGTTGTAATATAGAACTATGCAAACCGCGGTTGGAGTTTTTGGAAATGAAGATAAACAACCAAATATGACAAGCAGCCCTTCCATTTTAGCACTTGAGGTTGCTCGAGACCGAAATGTATGTCTGCCACATAGCGAAATGTCTCATACATTCAACACTTAAAAAATCACATGTGAGCGAAATATCGCGCGAATATCTTAAGTAAATAATTTAAAGAACTTGTATGTGCGCGCAGGGAGTCCGTCCCCCTGATATGAGAAGAAACGTGAGCGAGTATCAAACTATTTTCCCCACCATTGATTTCTCTCAGGCAAATATCTTCTTTCATTTCTCCTTCATTTATAAAATCTTATTCCTAGAAAGCTATAGAACATATAAAGCTTTCTCGATATATTATCAACGATACATATATGATGATTTCTCTAACATATTTTTGGGATGATATTATAGATTGAAAGTGAAGAAGACAATTTGTGGAGACCTGATGTTCGAGAATCTGAAGAAGAGATCTTGGAGAGAGGGTTAGAGTTCATGAAATGGTAACCCTTTTGAATATTAACTTCGTGAAGTGTAAATAACATTGGCATATTCTGTAAACTAAAGATGAATCTTCTGTTTTTAGGTTATGGAAGAGACCAGAGAAGGAGGTTGCAGTTGTTAGCCATGGCATAGTCTTGCAGCATATGTTGTATGTGTTCGCAAACGATTGTGACGTGTCAATTAGACATGAACTTTGCAAGAGGTTATACAAACAAAAATATATTATCCTTTGCAGTATGGACCAATATGTTGGTTCTTTGTAAACGCAATCAACAATATGTTATATGTTTCTTACAGGTTTGCTAATTGCGAAATTCGTACTGTTGTGATTGTAGACAAAAGGTTAGTATGATCTTAACTAATTTAATTAATAATTATGCATTTCTTGACCTTTGACAAGTGTTGTTATATTACTTTTCAGCCTTGGTTCTTCTACGGAGAATTGATTCCAGGGAGAAAATTCTAAAGAGTTCACAGAGCCTTTATTAAAACCAACCTTAAAGAAGTTAATTAATATTTATTTTGTTGTTTTATTCTTGAAGCTCAGTATTGTTAAGTTGAGTTAATTTCTTCTATTTACCTGAGCCCCTAGCTTAATTATCTACTTTTCGTCTTCTGCATTTTTAGAAATTGTAAAGAACTAAAATTAATCTCAAATGATATGATAATAAAATACAAAGATCCGCTCCGTAAATAGGATATCTGGGATGCCCGGATCCGAATCCGGATAGTAACCGAATCCGGATATCTTAATTTTCAGATCCAAATATCTGAATCCGGATCCGTATTTTTAAATTATAATAATTTTTAAAATTTATTAATAATTATATTAATATTTATACATATAATATTATTATATGTCATATATATATATATATATATATATTCATAAATTTTGTAAATATTTGATTTGTCTACTATTTTTAAATTTTACGTATTTTTAAATAATTTTTATTTATTTTTACGAATCCGAATCCGGATATCCGTGGATATTACAACTTCTAGACGGATATCCGAGGGTTGAATACCCGGACGGCTCGAATTCCACTCCAAATACTAAAATCCGGATCGACGAATTCGGATCCGGATCCGGATACTCCAAAAATTTTGGATATCCGGATCCGTCCCAGCCGAGATACTGAGATGTTACCAATGGAGCGTGGAATACGGCCGGTTTTAATGTCTCAAATAGTTTGTAACTTGTGAGAAAAGAGTAAATTAATTATTGCAAGTCACTATGAGGGAAAACCCCGAAAATGGATTCTCAAATTAATAGAGCAATAAATTTAATTTACGGTCTTGGACTCTTAGTTATATATAATCTTGTTACATTGTAAAAAATATTTTAGTTTGTTTTGTTTCATTTTTAAAATAAATTCCTATGTCGAAATTAAATTTATTCGCTTTTTGTGACTATTTCTTAAATTTTTTTTTACAATTGGTCGTCATTTTTATTAATTATTAAGTTATTGTTAATAAAAAATACGAAATCTATTATACTTATATATTTTCTTATACTCCAAGTTTTACTGTCAACTTTTCATACTCCAAATTATTATCCATAAAGTTTTTTAAAATTAGACAAATTTTAATTTGCTTTTTTTTTTTTACAAAAAAAAAGAATGGATATTTTTTTATGAAATCATCCCATCCAGTCAATTTATCAAGAGAAAAAAAAAATCCATCCAGTCAACACAGAAAAAGCATTGACTTGAGTCAAGTCGGATTAACCTACCGCGTTGAATACTTAAAACATACGCATTTACAATTCCATATGGGGTTTCGAAGAAGTTTCTGGGGTGGTTTCCATGTAAGGAATCGTAGATGCTATCCCTGGTATATAAATATATATGATAGTAGGAGTGTGTATGGAAGAAGAAGTAAAAGAAATAACAAAGGATATTTATTTTGTAAATATTGGGTATGTAAAGAGGTCGCCTAAAGAGGTAACTACATGGATTTGGGAGTTCAGACGCGACGCCTCTCATCGCCTAATTTCAAAATCCTTGATTTGCAGTGCCGGTCATAGAATTCCATAGGCTAGAAGCCAAAAATAGAAAAATAGAAAAATGGCTGAAATGCTGGTGATATGATTCAAACCATGGTTTTGATGCAAGCGAGATTAGCTGTTTAACCACTACACTAAAGACATCTTTTGATAAATTGTGGCCGGTTATCTATATATTTATTGTCAGCCGGAAGCCCATGTTTCTTTTGCTTAGGCCCAGGGCCGGCTCTGTTCATTTGATTAGTCTGACCAGTTATTCATTTCATTTCAGTCTCCATCATTTTAGGGTTATCTTTCTTCAGGAGACCATTTTAGAAAGCATATAATACATTTTGACTTGGTTTTCTCTCCTATGTTTGAGGGAGACCTTTTGTTTCGATCGTTCGAAAACATATTTTTTTTTCTTTAGCGTTTACATTCACCCGAGAGAAGAAGTTTTAAGAAAATCATGTTTCAGAAACATAAACACAATTTTTTTGTTTACATAAATATTTTAACAAAATGCAAACACAAAAGAAAATACTCTTTAACGTTTATGTTTTACAATTAACAAAATTGGTTACAAAGTATGTTTATACTTGTGCGAGGGGTACACATAAACTATAAGGTATACGCAAACATAAGCACAAAAAATAACAGTCAATATCTACTAACCTACAAGATATCACCAACTAACGGTAAACACTATTCACCTTCTATAAGTTGGCTATGTCATATATAAACTTCATAAATAAGTATGTAATTTGACTGGAAAATCATCCACCAGTCATATAAAATATGATTCACAGTCTTATATGGCTTGATTTTGAGATATATAGTACGTAAAGGTAAAGGTTAAGTGGTTCCACCGAAGAAACTCTAGCTACTTGTGACAGTAAACTCAGACCATAGATTTGCGCTCCTTCTTCCCTCTTTTTCACCAACTTTTCCACCAACCTGCTACAATTTTGCACCTACTTTCCCACCAATCAGATAGTATATTCAACCTACTTTCCGACCAAGAGCGCTCAGGTAGGGAACAGATCCTGCAAAGCAATACCATACTCAGCTGCTATCATAAAAGAGAAGCAAGTAAGGTAACAATAAACAGCTCAGCTCACCTTTGGATCATTAAGGCGACAAAAAGGACACCCTGAAGAATCGCAAAGTCTGTCGATACTAGCCAACAAAGAAGGCTGAAAGAAATAAATATGCAAGGAGCCCCAATAAACTCTGTCAGAATGAAAGACCAGCTCGTGTAATTAGGCATCCAGGTCGGTAACATAAACGTGGTTAATCGACACCAGAGGAAGATGAATCCAAACAGACCAGCCCAAAATCATTTACTTAGAAACATGGTAGACATTCTATATGCTTTAAGATAGTCCGAACTTCCTACATGTGCGGATGCCATGAGTATGTGCGTGTATAGAGGCTCCACTAGTCCCGCAAGTGCACCAACAATACCAATTGCAGATGAGATCAGAATGGAGACTTGGTTCACAAATGCGGAAGAGATGTATCGTCCATTTTTGTCAACTTTTACAGGGAGATAGAAGCAGGGCCGTGAAGAGACGTATCGTCCATTTTCTATGCCTTCACCCTGAAAAGTAAGAGTGAGTTAGTAAGAGAGAGTTCTTGATTACATATCTTGAACAAATATTGGGCACTTTGAATTGATTGATTCTGAGTTTTTTTTTTATCTTCCCAGTTTGTTTGGAATCGGAATCTCCATGTCTAACACGCGCTCATGGTGACCACATTTTGCAGACGCGCTCACCGACTGGTTTGCTTCCTCAATGTCACATAATGACCGGTTTGTTCTCCCGGTTCATTCATGTAGCAATTATAATTGATTTTACCAAGTTTGATTTTCTTTTCAACATTTTTTCAAAATAAATTTTTTTTGTTCACAATTCAAAAAGTCATAATTTATTTTTCTTAAATTTATTCAAGTTCCTTTGCATTTTTTAAACGTGTTTTGTTTGTTTTTCTTAAAAGTGAGATTAATAATGTAAGAAAATGAATAATTGGTTATTTATCTTAGATCTGTATTTAGACCAACTACTCAAAAAATGGAAACTTGCTAGGAAAATACTTTCTTTTTGCTGACCATCAAACTTCATTAATTTTAAATCGGGTTCGGTACATAGCTTCTAAAGGCTTGCTTAGCTAAACCATCTTCAAACATTAAGTACTCTCGATGAATAAACAACCTAAAAGAAATAACATCAAACAGAGACGATAGGAGATGAATATCGGAGAGAATTCCATGGAGTTCCGACGGGCATATAGCTCCTTCAATTGCTGTCACCACATTTTCATTTGGGAAACGTATCACATCAAAAAACATAGAGCTGCCTCTAGATTTGACTTTATTAGTAAAATCGTGTTTGTCTTCGTCACTAGAAAACCTAATGAATCATAGAGCTGCCTCTAGGTTTCTAACCAAAAAACATAGAGCTGCCTCTAGGTTTCTAACCAAAAATCAATCAAAATCCATTTATTTTTACAATAAACAATCTGTATATTTAAACAAAAATATTAATAAGTTGTGTTAACTAAATAAGCATTTTAATTATTAGCTTGTTAAACTCCAGTAAAGCAGTCTGAATATTTAAGTCTTATACGGTATATATGTGGCAAGAAGCTATATGTGAAAGGTCTTATCATTCGTGATATATATACTCGAAAAGAAAAATACAAATCATCTATTAAGCACTCTTTAAGTCTTGAGGCAGAAGAAATTTCTAAACGAACGAGGATTCAACTTGGCCTTCTCGTTTTTCAACTCAGCTTTGAGAACAGACTTCGCAAGCTCAAGTTTCTTGACCTCTTGTTTGAGTTTCTTCCTCTCTAAGTAAGCCTCACGTTTCTTCATCTCAAGCTTTGACCACAACCATTCCACCTTTATACCGGCTTGCGTCAGATAAGCCAATTTATCCGAGGTTCTGCTTAATTCAGCATCAGAGAGCGTTCGCTTGTGGCCAATGTTGAAGATAAGCTTAAAGATAACTTGGAATCTAAGTTATAATTATCCTATGAGAAATAGGATTAGGAATAAGAGTTATCCTAATGAGTTTTAGGAAATAAATCTCTATATAATAGAATGCTTGTGTGTTGCATTCCGGGGGGGGGGGGGGTTTAGTGATTGAGATTGTGAGTTTAAGGTTTTGAGAAGTTTCCTTAATATTAATAAAGAGAGAGTCTTTGTTATACTGCAATCTTTGAAACAATATTTGGTATCAGAGCTTAATTAAGAAGAAGCTTCGACAACCATGGGAGACATCACGACGTTTAAAGACAAAGGGAAGGAAGGAGGATCATCTGTGATCAAGTGTCCTATGTTAACCACAACAAACTATACGGTATGGGCGATAAGGATGAAATTACTCCTTAAAGTCAACGAAGTATGGGATGTTGTGGAAACAGAATCCGATGACGTTAAGAAGAACGACA